TGTCAATTCAGGGCTTTGGGAAGGTTCCAAACAAACCCAGCTTTGGAAAATGAAGCTAACCCACAGAACACGTTCATCTCGGGCAGCAGTACAGCCTCTTCCAATGCTGTCGGTAGTTTCAATCACAGTTGGATCAAGCTCCATGTAGGGATGACTCGGCAATCAGAGGGCAGTGATATCTCCTTGGCCTGCTATGTCAACATGGACAGTGCTTTTTTTAGCATAAGATGTAACACTGTTTTGCAGTATGGACATCTGTCTACTAAGAAACGGATTTAGAGCACATGGACAAGTCAAATAACTATGTAAAAGCTATATATCCCAGTACCAGTCATCCAAACTATTCAGTCTTCATCCATTTCCCTTGAGCCAAAAATAATGAATGTCAATCTCTCAGAAACCCTCTATTCCAATTCTTATGTCCGATTCCTGCACACACAACTTGTATATTTATATAGTCCCATCAAATTCAATGGAACTATTCTCATATAGCTGCTTAAGAAACTAGGGCCTAGGATTATGAATCCTTTCTTGGTTATACTGTGACATCACAACCTTCTATGCTATGACCTTCAATCTGCAAATTAACATCTTCAAAGGTATCTGGTTTCCCCTGTACCACAGATTCAGTCTATATAAAATAAAGCCATCTAAGCAACCAACCACTGACGGTATCACAGAGATGCAGGAAACTCCATCCAAGTCACCTTACCTTGCTCCTCTGCTAAACACCAGGTATGACAGAAAGGTGAGGTAAGGCTATTTTTTTTTAAAAAACAAGCATAGGACAAACCCTCTTCAGCTTTGGTCAAGTCACTTATATTTTTGGCCTATGAAACATGCCAAAGAATGTCATCTTTAACATGTTGACATTATTCCATCAATTTACAAGACAATTAGTCATGCTGTTGCTTTACCTTTTAAAAGCCATATTTTATCTGTAAGTAACAGTAATTTTGATTTTAGTATGGCCACTAAACATTATTGGATGGTCTTCATTTTATTACAAAACAGTTTATTTCATTTATAGAAATCACATGAATCAGATTACAACATATGAAATACAAAGGCTACAGCTGACTTCAGTTTGCAATTTGATGGAACTAACTTTTGCAACTTAATGCAGAAACTTGCCTACATGGCTTTAATTATTCTCAAAGATTAATTGCTCAAGCTTTCATAATATTACTTTACATTATCTTAGAATATTAAACAAAACAAAAAAATCGGGTCAAGCTGTACTGAAAATTTGTCCAAGTCCAAAATGCATGTTTCAGCTACTATACTTGGTTTTACATTTTTTTCATCTGCTCTTATCTTCCATGTCCATGAACATCAGTTCCCTCAGACTGTCACTTGTTGATCTATGAAAAACAATCTCAGTCATCTAGCACTGATGCAAGAAAGTTAATCTAGTTATCCTTTCAACAGTCAGTGACTATCTAAAGGCTCCCCTAACTTCTTAAACTACAACCACAAAAATAATCAGAAAAACAAAACACTTCCTTTTAATCTTTCCCAGCTCCAGCCTTGATCCATCTCATAAGTAAGAAACAGTGCCTGCCAAGGAATCTAACAGCATGGGAAGTTGGCAACAGTGGATTACTTTTTATTACAGTAAAAATGAAAGTTGCAAATCTGCTGAACTATCATGTAATTCAGTTTATTACTGCAGTCTTTTTTCACTATAGAGTACCTTTTTCTAACCCTGCAGAAATAATCATTTACATGAGGCTAACATTTCCCTTCTGATTAGGGGTGCACCAATAGAGATTTTTGGGGCCGATACCAATAGCTGACTGTTTAAGGAGGCATATCAGCTGATACTGATCTGATTTCTGATACAGCTGCCTCCAGCTAGTAAATGCGTTGTGGTGGAAGGGGGGGGAGACGGACAGATCAATGCCCCCCTCAGTGAGGGAAGGAGTGGGGCTGGGGTAGCCGCTGCCCAGCCGAGGTGGAGCAGGCACAGCAAAGAGTCAGGGCTCATCTGGGGGGCTGGCTCCTGCTGCTGTTCACACTGCTCATTTGGGAAGGCACAGGGGACAGGGGTGCCCCTGGGTTTGTGTGGGGCAGGCTGCGGGTCATGCTGCGCTCGGGGCAGGCGGCAGTGGCACTGGAAAGGGACTACAGCAAAATCTGGGGTGGCTGGACCAAGCTCAAGTGAGAGATAAGTTCTTTATCATGAGATAGGAAAACTTAGTTTATAAAAGCATGCCCACCTATGTATTATTTTTGACAATTCAAAATATATTGCCATCTTCAAAAATCGGCTCAGAACAATCCATTCGTCTCTGTATCCACACCACACATCACCATGGTAGCAGGTGGTGGCTGTAGAGTTACAAAATGAAAGCATTGAAAAGACCAAAGCTTATAAAGTGAGTAATTTTACTTTTGGGAACAGTTACATTAAGATGAATGGCTTTACTTACATTCAGGAAGTTACACACACGACTGTTTTCAGAATCAGGGTCCACATGCATGTGTGCAACATAAAATAGGAAGTCGCTAAAGTGGGGGTGGAACAACCAAAGAGTATAAAGGACACTGCTCATCTCTTTCTGGTATAAAGCACATTTTACTGTTCCTGTGTTACTAATTCAAATACTATAAGAAGCTGCAGGCAACTGAAGTGTTATCCAGCTCTGGTAAGACTGGATCTAATCCAGCCCTAGTAAGGTGGCTAAAACTCACAAGGACCATTCTGAAGTGAGGTGGAAAAAAAATAGCTTTTAGACACTGATGTAGATGTGCCACCCCAAAAGCAACTATACAGAGCATGCCCTCATTACGATAGCCCAGGGGAAAATAGCATTTGCCTAGCCAAATTATACCTTAGAGCATCCACCTGCACACGCATAGAAAATACTAAAAGCTAAAGCCCAATGTCCTGACAGAACAGTCTAAAAGAGGGACAAGTTCACATCCTAGAGAAGCAGGGCTGGAAGAGCCCTCCAGAGGTCATCTGGTGCCTAGTCCAACCCCCTGGCAGAGGCAGGATCATCCCTATCCAAACCATCCCATACAAACCATCACCTAAACTTGACATAAGCAGAGACTTATGTCCTGGCAGCCTAGGACCGAAGTATTCACTGTCCCTGCCCGCGGGTGGCGTTTGAACTCAAAAGCATCTACTTGCTGCTGCCGGAGCAGGACGACTTGAGGAGAGTTTAGCTGCTTGTTGGTAGGTGTTGGGTGTTAGGTAGCCGCCATGTGTCCGCTGAACAAAACAAGGCCAGGACCCCGGGATCAAGGCCGGCGGGCGCGCCGGGGCCCTGGAGGGGCGGGCGAGGCGGCGGCTGGTCCCGACCCGGGGATCCCGCCTGCCCTCCGCGGGGCCAGCCCGGA